GGGAGGACGGCAAGTTCGTGGTGGAAGATCACTGCTTTGCCGACCTGCCCCGGCAGCTGCCCCGGAGAGGGCCCAGTACCGACAGGTGAGGCAGCCTCTCCCGAGGCACCCTGCCAGGAATGTGAACATGGGGCAGTGCCAGCCATGAGGGGGTGTCTCTGGCCTGACTCCCCTTCCCTGTAGTGCAGAGGTAGCAGTAGGTACCAGGCCTCTAAGCCAGGGGCTGGTGAAGCAGCTGAGGGTGCCCATTGCCCAGGGCTTTGCAGAGGCTCTTCCATGGGAGAGGGATAGCTCTGGTTTGAGCATTGGCCTGCTAAACCCAGGGTTGTGAGTTTAATCCTTGAGGGGGCCATTTAGGGAACTGGGGTGAAAATCTGTCTGGAGATTGGTCCTGCTTTGAGCGGGGGGTTGGACTAGATGACCTCCTGAGGTTCCTTCCAACCCTGATATTCTAAAACATCCCCCTCTGTGCCTGGCCTGCCGTGCCTGTTCCTTGTGTCGGGAGGAGAAGGCCCAGGCAGGGAGGGGCGAAGTGGCCTGAAGTCCATTGTTGCCTCGTCTCCCAGTGCTGAGTGGCGCCTCCCCCTCCCTGGTCTCAGTGCCAGCGAACGACTGATGGAGCTGGGGCTCCGATCCCCTTCCCCAGGTGCCCGCTGCTGATGCCAGCACTGCCATCACCTGCTGACCCGTGACAGGGGACGGTCCCAGACACCCTGCAAGGGTCGGCACCGCCAGTGTTCAAACCCTGCAGCGTCGCTGGTGCCTTCCAGCTCTCAGCCCTTTGCTGGGTCTGCTTGGCCTGAAATTGGCCTTGATCTCTGCAGCTTCATCTCCCTTGTGTGCTCTCCCGCTTGGTAACAATGTCCTGGCTACCATGGCGAGGCCTCGCACAGGCCTAGGTAACCCGCCCACTGCCCGGGTGTGCTGGATGGCAGGATACCCACCTGTTGCTTTGGGCCACAGGTTTGTCTTGCTGGTGTCAGGCCTGGGCCTCGGCGGCGGGAGCGGCGAGAGTTTCCTGGGCATGCAGCTGCTGGTGGACGTGGTGACGGGGCAGTTGGGGGCCGAGGGCGAGCAGAGCTGCGCGGCGCAGATCTCCCGGGTCATTCTGGCAGGCAACCTGCTCAGCCAGAACACGCAGAACAAAGACACCATCAACAAGGTGAGGGCCCCCAGGGCGCCCTGGTGGCCTGCTGGCACCAGCTGGCAGCCCCGGAGACTTGCCCCCCCGTGCAGGGGGCAGGTGGACGCTACCTAGGATGCATTGGTTGTGTGGGTCAGTGGAGGTTTCTCGGTCCGGTGCTTTTCCCCAGCACTGAATGCATCTGTCTGCTCAGAGTGGTATTTGCATGGGCAGGGGAAGCGGGCACTGGGCTGGGCACAGGCCGCCATGCTGGATCTCTGGACGTGCCCAGGTTCCAGGCGAAACTCGCTGGAGATGGCCCGTGGGATCTGGGTGCTGGGAGAGGCTGGCAGGGCCATGCCCTTGACTTGGGGCAGAGGAATTAGCTAGGGAGCTGCCTGGGCTGACAAGGGACTCCGGGAGAGAGGCGGCTCCTCTCGGCCAGCCCCAGGAAGTTACGCATGCCAGGCACGGCTAGTCGTTGCCAGCTGCCTCTCCTCCCTGTGGTACCGGTGACCTGTTGGGCGGGCAAACAGCCCCGAGGGGGGATTAGAAACGGGCTAGCGAAGGGAGGGGCCGCCCATGGGGAGCTGTGCTGGGGTCTGCATGGTCTCCTCTGCCCTGTAAGGATGTGGGGGGAAGGGGCACCATCCAGTGGGGTCAAATGGCCCGCGCCCGAGAGCCCAGCCCTAGCCAGCAGAGGAGCCAGTGCTGGCAGATGGCCTGCAGCGGGGAGGGGTCTGAGCAGCCGTACGGTGGGCGAGTGCTGCCCCCCTTGGGCAGCCAGGGGCTCCTGGGGGATGGAGCATCACCAGACCGCAGCCACCCTCTGAGCCCGCAATGGGAATCATACCAGGGCAAGGGGCAGCTGGCACCTGGCTCCACTTCCTTACCCATGTAGCTGCCACGTGGGCTGGGGCTCACTCTCTTGTGGCCGCCCAGCCTGTCCTGGCGCGTGCCCACCTGGGGCATGGCTGGGAGGACTGTTGCTTCCCGCAGGTGGCTCAGCAGGTACCACGCTGGTCCCAGAGGCTGGTCTGAGGAGGCTGCTCCTCTGACGCTTCTCCGGACTTGTTCTTGCAGGCAAAGTACCTGACCAAGAAGACCCAGGCTGCCAGCGTGGAGGCTGTGAAGATGCTGGACGAGATCCTGCTGCAGCTCAGTGTGAGGGGGCTGGGGCCGGGGACCGCTGCTCCTGGAGGGGGGTTTGCGCGGGAGCCCGGCTCTGATTGCCCCCTCTTTGCTTGTAGGCCTCCGTGCCAGTGGACGTGATGCCCGGCGAGTTTGACCCCACTAACTACACGCTGCCCCAGCAGCCGCTGCATCACTGTATGTTCCCCCTAGCGGGCGCCTACTCCACACTGCAGCTGGTCACCAACCCCTACCAGGCCGACATCGACGGGGTCCGGTAAAGCCCTTTCCTTGGCACCAGGGGTGGCACGGCAAACAGAAACGGGCAGCGCTTTGTGCCCCTGCTGCTGGGTCCATGCTGATGCCAGAGGGAAGCCAGGGAAAACCCCACCCCTCCACCTGCTGGGGAGCACGGGGCGGGAGCTGGCAGTGGCTTAGCAAAAGGCCTGGGGCGTGGTGGGAAGTGGTGTGGGGCCCTGAGCTGGCACCCTCAGGGCTGGGTGGTGAGGGCGGCACTGGGGAACAATTCGGCCTGCAAGCAGCCTGACTCCCCTTGCTCTCCAGGTTTCTGGGCACGTCTGGCCAGAACGTCAATGACATCTTCAAATACAGCAGCATGGAGGACTACCTGGAGATCCTGGAGTGGACGCTGCGTGTCGGGCACCTCAGCCCCACGGCCCCAGACACCCTTGGTAAGGGGCTGGGCAGGGACCCCCGCAGTGCACCTGGGCAGGCAGGAGGAGCTCTGAGCGTGTGAGCCGAGATGGCGCTGAGGGGAGTGGATCTGGAGGCGGGGCTCACACCTACCCCAGGCTGGGAACAGGTGGCCAACAGCTGCCGTGCAGCGGGGCAGGCGTTCCGGGAGGGCGCTAGCAGTCCTGGACTCTGAGCATCAGGTCCCAGCCCTGCTGGCTCTGAGAACGACAGCAGAACAAACCTCTGACTCTGGAGGGTGTGGAGGGGTCTGGCCCAGCAGCCCTGTTTCTCTGCATCGCCCCTAGAGCTGGGAGTGCTCAGCAGAGATGGGGCTGGGAGTTGGCAAGAGGCACTAGTTGCCAATGTGGCCACTGGCATTGGTGGGCAGGCGGCCATCCTGCCGTTTGGTAGGGTGCTCCTGTGGGTGGAGTTGTTGCTGATATCTAGCTACGCCCTCAGGGCACGGAGCCAGGCACTCCTTAACAGCCTGCATCGTCTTCCAGGCTGCTACCCTTTCTACAAGACCGACCCCTTCATCTTCACCGACTGCCCTCACGTCTACTTCTGCGGGAATGCGCCACGCTTCCAATCCAAGGAGCTCACAGGTGAGGAGCCTAGAGGCCTGCTGGCTGGGCGCTGTGCCCTGGGGGGGCTGCTCTGTGTACCTCGCCACGACAGTGCCGGGAGGGAAAGGAGGCCCCAGCAGCCGGATCTTCAGTGTCCTTGGAGAATGTGGGGTCCTGCCGCTCTCGTATTGAGATGGTTACCATACGTGTCACTGCTGGATGGATGTGCACCAGTGCATACTGGGAAGACCCAGCCAGCTGTCCCCTCAGCAGGGGCGGCACATGGGCAGCGCATGCAGGAGGAGGTTGGGCTGGGTACATGGCCCACTCCCGTAGAGCCAGGAGCTGGGCCTCTGTGCTGGTCGTGGGCAGCATGAATCACAGTTGGAGGTGACCCCGTGGCTACCCAGATTCTGGCCCAGATGGCAGGACGGCTGCTGACTCCCCACCAGCCCCCGTGGGGTTGGGGAGGGACAGAGCTCCCGGCCTAGCAGTGGGATCCGGGTGCACGAGCGATGCAGCATGTGGGAAATGTGGCGGCTCCGTGGCTGGGGTTGAGCCGGGGGCCCAGGCCAGGCGACCCCCAGTGCTGGTCTCTAGGTGGGGGAGCGGCTCAGCCCCCCTCTGTTTGCCTCGCAGGGGCAGATGGGCAGCAGGTGCTGCTGGTGACCATTCCCGACTTCAGCGCCACCCAGACAGCCTGCCTCATCAACCTGCGCAACCTGACCTGCCAGCCAATCAGCTTCTCTGGCTTCAGCGCCGAGGAGGACGAGGGTGAGATGGAGATCAGCCACTGAGCCAGGGCGGGGCAGAGCCGGGCTGCCCGCCTGCTCCCAACAGGGTGCAAATGGACCCAAATAAAAATACCTCTCCCCTCCCTCTGCGTGCGGCTGTGGTGTTCCAGCATTGGGGTGGCCGAGGGGGCGGGCCTGCGGATGAGCCTCTGCCTACTGCCCAGTTCTGGGGGCCTGCGTGCACCCCCCTCCAGCTCGCCCACCAATCTGCAGGGATGGAAGTGCCTGCGCTGGCCTGGGGGGAGGGGAGAGCTGGTTCTGCTACATCCGCCTAAGTGTGCTCTGCTGCCGCCGGCCGGCTCTGGGCCTGGCGTCCCTCCCTCCCCGGGAAGCTGTGGCTGGGCCGGGCCTGGCTGAGTGACCAGCCGCCCCTCTCACCTGTCAGTGGGGCGCTGGCTCTTCGGCTAAGGGCGAGGGCCTGAGCCTGCCACGCCGGGGGGAGCTGGCACTGCTTCCCATGCCCTGTGGCTGCAGGGGCCTGGCCATTCCAGCTTCACCATCATGGGACGCGGGAGCAAGTCCGGGTCCCTGGCAGGGTGGGTCCGGGCTGCGCCCCACTCTGCTGCCCCACCCTCAGCTCTCCCGCTCTGCCCAGCCAGCCTGGAGGGGGCCCAGCCAAGCCATCCTCCCCTTCCCTGGCGCAGGGCGTCCCCTGCCAGGCGAGAGAAGACAAAGCTGGCACCTTTACCGACGTAGCTGGATTTATTCGTATAACAGGAACCGCGTGGAGGAACCCAGCTGCCCGCTGGGCTGCACTGCCCCTGCCTCCTGGGCCCTGCCCTGGAGAGGGTCCCAGCTCCCCCTGCTGAGCCGAGTCCCGCATCAACCCTCCCTCGCTCCCTGAGCCTGGCCAGCTGCTGGTGCTGCCCGGTCTCAAGGGGATCCCGTCGTTTCCTGCCCAGGAGGGTCAGGCACCCCCCTGCCCAGCCCCCTGCGGGAAGCTACGTCCCCCTGGACTCCTAGAAAGCGGCGTGGTGAGCCTGGCATGGAAGCAGGAGGCCGGTGGGGGTGAGTGCTGGGTCGACAGCAGGCTGCCCGGAGCCGCGGGGCTCTAGAAGCAGATGACCGTGCCTGCAGCTGAGGAAAGGGCAGCTGGCTGCAGGCAGGGAGCTGGCCACCAGGCGCTAGCGTCTGGGTTGGGCCTTAGGCAGCAGCGACCGGAGCGCCTCCTAATCGCCAAAGTTCACGGTGTAGGTCTCCGCTGTGGTCAGGGGCTGCGCAGTCCCTGTGCCCACCTCCCAGGCCCCAGCCTCAGCCTCCGTCACCAGCTCCGTCACCAGCTCCGTCACGGTCTCCAGCTCGGTGTAGGTCTCGGTCTCCCAGGTGGCAGCGGTGGGCGGCAGCTGGCTCCAGGGGGCAAAGGTGGTGCTGCTGAAGGCGAAGGGGAGGGAGGTGGTGGGGGCCAGTGTGGGGGGGGGCGCCGGTGGTGGTGGCGTTCAGCATGCGCTGCCGCATCTGTTGGCGGAGCCGCATGCGCTGGCGCATCCGCTGGCGGAGCCTCATGCGCTCCTGGGGTGTCATGGGCCGCCCGGGCGGGATGCGCCGGATGGGCCGGTTCCCGTTCATGGCCATGATCTCCCGGATGCGTTTCCAGTTGGAGCGCGAGAGGATGAAGTTGCACTGCGTGGCGCCGATGTCGTACAGCACGGTGCAGGTTTTGACGCTGGGGTTGTAGCCTTCAGCCCTGGCCACCACGCGGTACTCGCCCGGGTTCAGGATGCGCCAGTAATCCCCGCTGCTGGCTGCAAGGGCATGAGGGGAGGGGGGGTGAGCGGCACTCGTGGGGCAGGAGCTGGGGGTTGTGGGGTTTTGCCCAGCACCTCACAGCGTTGTCAGCACCCTTCTGGAGAGAGGCTTAGCCTGGATGCCCCCTGCTTCCCCCTTGGCCTTTGCAGAGCCGTGCCGTAGGGCCAGGCCTGGCCTGCGCAGTCAGGGCCCCCCTCCTGGTGAGGGCTGGGCACCTCCAGCCTGGGCTGTGGGGCTGCCCAGCTCAGGGACACTTACGGCTGCCAGGTCTGTGCTCTGTTGTAAGGCCAGGAAGAGGTGGGGGCAGCACCTGTCACTGGGTGGGCACAGGCTGAGTGCCCACAGAGGAGGGGGAGGGGACAGCACCTGTCACTGGGTGGGCACAGGCTGGGTGCCCTTTAGTAGAGGGGAAGAACAGCACCCATTGCAGACTGGGGAGGCTGGGTGCCTGGGGACCCTCCATGGCGAGGCCAGGGCGCCCGGGGGCTCGCTGGGGGGGGGCGCCCAGGGACCCGCTGCGGGGCGGGACACGTCCGTACCTGTTTTCATGTTGTGATTGATTCCTCCCACGATGATGGTGGCGTTGGCAATGGGGTCCCCCTGCTGGTCCGTCACCACCCCCTTAATGCCCCGATGCACCTGCCAGGGGAAAGGCTGTTAGCCCGGGGCTGCTGCAGGGCCCCCCAGTCTTCCTCCCAGTCCCACCGCTTTGGTTCCCCCGTCCCACCTGCTCCATGAAGGTGAGCAGCGACTCCTTGTTGTTCTCCCACTCCTGCTGCAGCTCGCTGGCATGGGGGAATTTGTCACAGCCCAGGTAGACGGAGAGCTCCAGGCAGTTGGTGTGCAGGTAGCTGAAGTCGTTCAGGCCTGGCAGAGAAGGGGGGACGGGCCATCAGCACTGGCAGGCGGGTGTTTGCTGCAGGGGGCAGCAGGGTCCCTGGGGCAGGCAGCCTGGCTGCAGCGGTGCCAGCCTCTGGGGGCGGGCGGCCTTGAGCCGAGGGAGCGCCTGGCCTGGGTGAAGCAGGCCGGAGCGGTGGGAACGGGGGGCGGGAAGAGACCAGCTCAGCGATCCCTGCCTGCCCGTGCCGCCCGGTGGGGGGGGGGACAAGGAGCAATGGGGGGCTGAACCCCCAGGTGGGGGGATGGGAGCCTCGGCATGCAGGGCCTTGCGAACAAAGCTCTGGAAAACGTCTGGACGGGGTGACACTAGAGTGGCCTGTGGGGCAGGTGGCACCCAGCAGAGGGGCCAGCATTATGGGGCCTGAGGGCGATGTTGGCACCCTCCCCAAAGGGAGCCCTGTCTGTCCTAGTTCCCCCCGCCCCCGGCACCTCTGACTGGCGGGTGTTTGCTGCAGCATTATCCCCCCTCCAGCCCCCACTTACTCCCCACGCGGGGGTGCCACTTGGCGCCGCTGATGATGCCCATGCCATTGGTCATGTCCTGGGTGTGGCAGCCCCCGCGGAAGGTCTCGGTCATGGTGAGGTGAGCCGAGGCGTAGGAGATGGCCAGCCAGCGGAAGATGGCGTGGTCGGGGGTCTCCTGCGCCTCCAGGTTCTCGTCCTCGTAGTCGTCCGGCGAGCGTCCCGCCGCCGCCTCCCCCTCTCCCTCGCGGGGCGGCCGTGCCATGTCGTAGGGGTACGACACCAGCTTCTCCCCGCCGTGGAAGTTGGCTCCCAGCACGAAGGGGGTCTTCTCCATCCAGGCAAGGATGGCGCGCACCTCCACAGCCACCTGGGGGGACACAGAGCTGGGGCCCGTGGGCACAAAAGCCCCCACCTCCTGCCCCTGGCAGAGCCCCTCTCTGCCCAGTGCCCATGCCTGCCTGCTCCCCTGCTAATCCCCACTCCATGAAGTGGCCAGGCATTGGCTGGCACCCTGCCCAGTAGCTCCACCATAAATGCCAGCTTGGCTCCTTGCCATCACCCCCAGCAGCCCCCCTCCGGCCTGCCCGCAGGCTGCGATCGCCTTCCCCACTAGCCCTGCGGGCAGGGGTCCCAGTCGTCGCACCCTCCTGGTGGCACATGACCGGGAGCCAGGGCCCCCAGAGCCCCCACGGGCACTCACGTGGGCGTCCTCGGCCAGGTAGTGCTCAGGGATGGGGATGTGGTGGTTGGGGACCCGGTGTGGGACCCACTTCCGCTCCTCGGCCGCCCACAGCACGCTGGCCAGGTCCGGGAAGTTCTCAAAGATGTCGTAGCCTTCCTCGTTCCAGTGGCCCAGTGCCCAGTTGCCCAGCTCCGAGCCCTGCAGGGAGGGGCACGACACGCTCAGTAGCAAGGCCCCCGGCAGCTGGCACCAGCCCAAGGGCTGGGCGCGATGGAGCTGACGGAGACGGACGTGGCTTCCCCTGCCCCATTCCATCACAGCATCAGCAGGACCCCTCCCCCCGCTTTCTGCCCCCAGCAGGGTTCCCCCCCATGCCCGAGCACCCAGTCCCTGCACCTAGCCACCCCCCTGCATCGCCCCAGGGCACATAGCCAGGCCGAGCTCCGAGCGCGGCTGGTCACTGGGCCGTGCTCTTGGCATGCCAAAGGGCAGCACAGGCAGGCACGGGGGATCTCTCACCGCCTGGCTGGCAATCTCGTAGCCATCGGGGTTGAGGGAGGGCACGAGGTGGATGCGGGTCTCGGTCACCAGGCTGCGCACACGCGGGTTCCCATCCTGGTACTCCTTGCACAGGAACTGCATCAGCAGCAGCAGCAGCTCGCGGCCTAGCACCTCATTCCCGTGCAGCCCGGCCGTGTAGCGGAACTCAGGCTCCCCTGCGGGGAGAGGGCGCGGGGTCATGGCGATGCCCTCCGGCCCAGGGCGCCCACAGAGACTGGCACAGAGCACCAGGTTCAGGGTAGCAGCGGGCTGGGCAGACACAGGCAGCGTCCCACCCCACCAGGAGCTCCTCCCCACGCAGGGAGAGACGCCCTCCGATCCCTATGGGGGCCACACTGGGGGCTGGTAGGGCAACACGCCCAGGAGCCCAGTGCCACCAGCTCCTGGCCCCTCGCCATACAAAGCGGCCTGGTGCTTTGCTGCGCCAAAATCCCCAGGCCGGAGGCGGCTAACGGGGGAGGGATCCGCCTGCTGTCCCTGCCCCATTGCCCATCCCGCAGCCCAGGCCCCGCCTCACCCAGCTCATGCTCCCCCGGCTTGTCCGAGATCTCCATGGCATAGATCTTCAGGCCGCGGGAGCTCTTGCCAATGTTGTAGATGCGCGTGATGCTGGGGCACTCTTCGTTCACCACCTTCATGAGCTGCAGGGAGCAGGGCGGCATGAGGGGGCCAGGCCTGCCCACCCCGGGTGGCACCAGGGCGGGGACGGAGGGGCCCTGGGTGGGGAGTCTATGCCACCAGCAAGGCAAGGGGGGCAGGGGAGGCTATATTGCTCTCCCACAAGGGGAATAAAGGCCGGGGAGCTCCTGCCAGCGGGACGCACAGCGAGGCGGGCAGCGGGTGCCCCAAGAGGCTCATGGATCGGCTGACGTCACCCGGACGGGCGCCAGGCAGCTCTGGCCCTCGGGATCGATGAGCCGGCTACTGGCCGTGAGCAGAGCTGGGGCGGGAGAGGAGCCAGGGTCGATCCCCGCTGTCAGTGTCACGCTGAACCCCGGCCGAACACGGGGGGCAGTCTCTGGCAATAACTCTGCGGGGAGGGGCCGAGATGCCGGGGACACAGGGCTGGCTGTAGCACTGGGAAATGCTGCAGATAGGAGGCCAAGGCAGCGCTAACCCCCCAGAGGGGGCAGCGGGTTCCCTGGAAACACCCCAGGAGCTGGGCGCTGCCCTGCAGGACCAGCAGCAGGCAGAGACTCAGAGCCAGCCCAGTGAGCTCCGAATGGCTCTGAATGCCACGCCGGGAGGTGAACGCCCTCCCCCCCGTCCCCAGGGGGGTTGCACACACACCTGCCTCATATCCTTGTAGCTGTGGTGGCGGAAGTCCAGGTTGTCGGTGGACGTCACCTCGTTCTGCTGGCTGTAATAGCTGCTGACGGCTGGGGAGGGGGCAGAGCCGCTGGTCAGACACGCAGCCATGACCCGCCCGCCCAGAGCCTGGGAGCCTGGAGGCAGAGGGAGGACCCTGGTGCCCGGGAGGGGCCGTGCTGTGACGGAGCCTCTCGGGCAGGTTCTGTGGTGGAGAGCCCCGGAGGGCTCAGCCCAGAGCCCCTTGTAGCAAGCTTCCCCAGCCAGTTGGTGAGCTCAGCGCGCTGGCACTGCCAAGGACACTGGTGTGGGACCAGCCCCCTGTCCTCTGGGGCGCCAGGTGGGCTCAGCCAGGCCAGGGCCTGCTCCTGGGCAGGACCATCCCAGTGCTGCTCCATGTCCCCAGAGTCCCTGCAACCGGGGAGGGGGGGACCCGGAGCAGCCCCAGAGCCCCCCAGCAGCAGCCTGGCCCAGCCTGCCCATGCAGGGCTCTCAGGCCTGTTCTGCCCCAGCCATCCCGTCCCTCCTGCCCCAGCGCCCAGGCCCCACTCAGCTCCCGCCCGCGGCTGCAGCAGCGTCAGGCCCCGGTGGGTGCGTTTGCTCCTGGCTCTTACTGGAGAGGGGGCAGCCCAGCACCTCCAGCCGCATGCACAGGCTCCCGTTCCAGATCTGCGGGTACATCCGGATGAAGCGTGCGACCACGGGCTCCGGGAACTCGGTCAGCACCGGCGTGTCCTTGTCCACGTTGCCGTGGAAGAGCTGCAGGGAGAGGCCCAAGGGGCAGCGTCAGGCATGGCACCAGGACACGGCCCCTGCGCTCAGGCAAAGGAGGCAGATACCTGGCAACCCTGCCCCCCACCCCCATGCTCTGCCAGTGCCCCTCCATCCCAAACCCCAGTCCCAGCCCTGGGCTTCCCCCCCCCCAGCTCTGCCAGTGCCCCTCAATCCCAACCCCCAGCCCCAGCCCTGGGCTCCCCCCAGCTCTGTCAGTGCCCCTCAATCCCGACCCCCAGCCCTGGGCTCCCCCCCAGGTCTGCCAGTGCCCCTCAATCCCGACCCCCAGGCCTGGGCTCCCCCCAGCTCTGCCAGTGCCCCTCAATCCCGCCCCTGCCCCCCCCAGGCCTGAGGCATGCGCCAGTTACAGCCGCTGTGCCCCAGACACGGTGGAGGCCGCCTTGGTGAGGTGGGGCCAGTTTGGGGGTCGGACGGGAGCCTCCAGCAGGGGGCCGGGGGGGGGTAGGACCCGTACCATCTCCTCGTAGCCGTTGGAGTACATCACCCAGTTCTGGCTGTCGTTGCTGAAGCCCACGTAGAAAGCGGTGACAAAATCGTCACTGGGGAGACAAGAGCGCGGGGGGGGACTCAGCACCCAGGGGCAGCTGGGGGCAGCCACAGCTGGGGCAGGGAGTCTGGGGGGAGGGAGGTACAGGGATCTCGGCCTCAGGACACAGCCAGGCCCAGGAGCCGCCTGAGGTAAGCGCCGCCCAGCCGGAGCCTGCACTCCGCACCCTCTCCTGCACCCAAACTCCCTCCCAGAGCCCGCACCCCTCCTGCACCCCAAACCCCTACCCCAGCCCTGAGCCCCCTCCTGCACCCAAACTCCCTCCCAGAGCCTGCACCCCACACCCCTTGCCCCAGGTTCAGCCTCCTCCCACACCCCAACCCCCTGTCCCAGCCCGGTGAAAGTGAGTGAGGGTGGGGGAGAGCGAGTGACTGGGAGAGGGGGGGGGGATGGAGTGAGTGGGGCAGAGCCTCAGAGAAGGGGTGGGGCCTCGGGGAAGGGGCGGGGCAAGGGTGTTTGGGTTTGTGTGATTAGACAGTTGGCAACCCTAGCCTGGCCCGTACGTACTGGATCTGGGACGGGGACACACACACACACACACACACACACACACACACACACACACACACA